CTGTTGGGTCCCCAAGGTACCTCAGGTTTGTTGTTGGGTTGTTGTAAAGTATCATAATAGTTTCGCCACGCTCAAGTATCTTCTCCAGCGTGTTTATTGGCCAGGAATCAAGAGCCATTATAACTGCTGCGGCTGTAGGAGATCCTGTTGGATCTGTAGTTGCACGAAAGTCGATATCAACCTTCTGAAAATCAGCTTCCTCGGGATGTTGCCAAGGCCCAGGAGATAACACTCTGTCAATGTCTCCAGAAGTGCCTTGCGACTCAAATTGAAGAACGGAGACCCCATACTGAGTGGCGGCTCTCCCAATGTAAGTATTAGTATCATTGTGATAAAGTTCTTGGTCTATGGTTTCACGATTGCCTTGTGTCCTGATCTTATGTCGCCGTAGTTGAGCCGTCGAAAGAAGATTAAAACCAAGTCCAGCGATGATGAGGACGTTTGTAACATGTAAAGAAAAACCAGTGTCAACAGAATCCAGCGTGACGCTGGCGATAGATCTTGCCATGATCGTTTGTCCGTTGGCAACTGTGACAGGTACTGGATGGCGAAGAGGTCGCTGATGAGTGATGAAGGTGTTTCAGTAGAGCACATGTGTTGACCACAACAACTGTCAAGATACCAAGTGTTTGGTCCTGCACTAACCTGAGCAAGATTAGCATAGACCTGAGGTAAGACCATATTCTCAGGTTGCTCGATGAAACTTTCTTCCTCCTCATCGTCGAAATCTGAATCTGTTGCATGAACTCTTGTAACACAGCTGAAAACCTGTTTTCCTGATTTGGCAGGAGTTGTTGTCGGTAGATTCTTGTTCACGGGTTGCTTGAACTGCTGCGACTGCGCCTGTGCTCCTCGTTTCTTATCAGCCTTAAGCTTGTTGCAATACTTGATGTTGTGTCCATCCCTTTTGCAGTAGTGACAGAAGAACGTGTTGACTCGTTTTGCAGGTGTTGAATAGAAACTGAGGTTAACTGCTCCTTTTTTGTTACGTGCTGTTTGCAGGTCAAGGTCCTGCTGCTGAGCTTGAAGAGTCGAACAAATTTCAGCTTCCGAAATATTTGGTTGAATGCGAAGAAGTGATCGACACTGCCGCCATTCTACTCCAAGGCCGGCAAGAAGGACTGTTACAAACATGTCCTTTGGGAAGTATCCGCCGCACTTTTCCAATTGGTCACAAAGTGTTCGAGCCCTGTTGATGTAATCCGAAACATTCTCGTTGCCCTGCATCTGTACAGTAGTCAGTTGTGAGAGAATCTTACTCACGGAAATGGTGTCCTGTGCCATATATAGCCCCTTCAAATGCTTCCATGCAGATTCGGCTGGAGTCAAGCTAGTGTGAAGGGAGCGTATACCAAGCTGCTCTTTCAGCGACAGATTGCGGATAAGAACTGTGTAAGCGCTGAGTGAAGCATTGAAAAAAAAATGCTGCTCCATCTGTGTTCCCGTAATAGGATACGAGTTATCGCCACTGAAGAACGGCCATAATCCAGTGGATTTCGCGAGGAGCTCGAACTCGAAACTCCAAGAGTAGAAGTCAGCGCCATTAAAAGGTATAGTTGTCTTGATTTGTGTATTACTTAAAATGTTCGGAGCCTGAAAGGCAGGTCCAGTTAAAGAAATCTGCTGCTGCAGAAACTGCTGTTGCGGTTGCTGTTGTTGCTGTTGATTTTGCTGTTGTTGTTGAAATTGTTGTTGCGCTTGTTGCTGTTGCTGAAGAAATTGAAACTGTTGATGTTGAGTAGGTGTAAACGCGAACGAAGAACTGGAGCTTGGAGAGGCTGCAGCTCTTGCATAGCTGGAACAACCAATACTCATACCACTGAAAGCCGTTGATATTGATGCTGCTGCGATGTTGCAGGTGCGAAGGACGAAGTCTCTAGTGGATGCACAGTAGGCAAAACTTGCTGCTGTTGAGGCATCCCAATTGAAGAATAAGCAGGTGGAAAATTTCCAGCTGCAGAGTCACCTGCTTGACCTGTGAAGACAGTAGGATTTGTAATACCCGTGGGTCCAGTTGTTGAAGAAGCAGATGTTGGAGTTGGTGATGGTCCAGTCATTTGTAGAATTGACGATAGTCTTAATTCCAGACAGCTCTCATACCATGAAAGAAATTGAAAGGTAATGCAGGAGACTAAGTATAGAATCTGCAAGCATAAGTATTTGAAGTAGAAAGTAATACTGGAAGTACCTTCAGTAACAGCCAGTATCAACAACTTATAACACCAGAATCAGTATTACAGCCTTGTGATACTTCAAGACTTAACCAAGGATCTTTGCGGGAATGGTAGACTAGTAAGACAGCGAAAGTCTTAGAACTTGTAAGTCTTGACCAGAATTTACTGAAGAACAAGTTGATAATTGAAGTCATACAAGCTACTTTTATATCTGCTAGAAACACCTATTCGGTAATGTACATGTTCAAAACTATTTGCGCTATGCGCTCTAACCGCTACTGAAAAGAGCGTGACTGTTCGCGTGACTAAAACGGCCTGCTGACGTAATCATCCAGACGAGCGCTATTTGTTGACGTCATTCTACGGATGCTAACTACAGTGTAACTCGACAATATCTATCGGAACTACTTACAGAAATGCTTGAGTAGGATTTTATCACAACACTCCCCTTCATTTATGGATTCCGATAGTGTCACTTCTTGATAATTCCGCAGAGTTTGTTGCAGTATTGGGACTTCTAATGTGTCAACTTCTTGGTGAGAAAATCTGCAGCCATTTCATTGGTTGAACAGTAGACCAATTGCATTCTCTTCTTTTCGACTTCATCTTTGACGAAGAAGTATCGCAGCAAAATGTGTTTCGTCCTGTTGGCGAAGCCAGGTTGGTGCGCAATTCTGATTGCACGATATTTTGTTAATTACATGTCATATTTGATTTGCAATGCAATAGCAGGGCTATGGGGCAATCCTAGGCCTGAGAATGCTGCCGCGAGGGTGCTTGGGCGAAGGCACTGGTTTCCTTGGGTGAGGGACAGCTGTGCCACGACTTTCGGGGCCCAAGCCCGAGGGGCTGGTTGAAGCAGGGGCCACCAGGATGCCCAAGGCCACTCGGGAATGATCAGCGCCAGGGTACTCTGCGTACGCTATGCATGACGGAGAGTGGCAGGGATCAGGTTGGGGGACGGGAAGGTGAAGCCTCTTTCACTTGTCTAGGAGATGAAGAACGCGTCGATCGTAGTTGCGTTGGGGTGCAGTATTTTAGCACGAAATCGTGGCAGCTGGCTGTTGTGCATGTTTGCAAACAGGTCGATCGAGTGCGGGCCACAACGTTGTTCCAACATGCGGAACCATGGTGCATGGAGCGAGTAATCGTCGTGATCCTGCCGCTTCAAGAGTTTGTCGGCTTGTGCGTTGAGCTCCCGCGGGATCATTCGATTGCGAGGCGCGTGGATTTTCAATGCAGAGGCTGATTATTGCTTGGTAGATCAACGTGAGTGCCGGCTGGTGAGAGCCGCCCTTGCGAAGGATGAAGTCGACTCCTTGGTTGTCGACATTAACGAGCACGTGGCTACGAACCAACTGACTCGCAAAGGTGCGGAGCACCCAATGAACTCCTTCAAGCTCCCTGCGTATGCTAGAGGTTTGGAGGAGGGCGTCCGACATTCTGCTACTTGCCCCAGATGGGGTTCCCGGAAACCGTGTAAGAGTAGCACCCTAGCTGTGTGCGCTGGCATCAACGTGGATAATTGCATCGAACTGGTGGTGCAAGTGGAATGGGGCGCCATTGAATCGATCGAAGTGGGTTTGCCAGAAGGTAAATTCTTCAATAACGTGTGGTGGAAAGCACACCTTGGCGTTCCATGACGTGGCTTCCGCGACCAAGCGTAGTAGTTCGTTATTGAAGGCCCGCGCCATCGTGCCGAGCGTGAGGGCCATGGAGGCAAGCATCCAGTGACTCGGGCAACTTGCCGGATGGGTACTGGTTGCGCCACTTGTCCCTTAGCGATGAGCACCTGAAGTGTGTGCAAGAGTTGTATACATCGTTCGGCTCCGACCAGAAACAAGCCATGGGTAGTGTCGAGCTCCAGCCCCAGGAAGCGGATCTGGTGGGATGGTTGCAGGTGTGATTTCTTCCCGTTGATGACAAATCCGGCTGCCCTGAAGTCCTGAAGGACTTCCGTGCAGGTCGTCTACATATGGGACGAAACGTACGCCGGGAGCCATCCATCGTTTGGCCTTTTGCTTGATGAGCTGAGAGAAAATGAAGGGTGCTGTTACCAAACTGAATTGCAAAGACTTGAAGCAATAGTATTCCCCATTGAACTGGAAGCCTGGGAACCTCCACCAGGAGGGATGCATCTCAACGTGGTGGTAGCCAGAATTGAGGTCAATGGTGAGAAGCCAATCGTTGGGTCAGATGAGCTCTGTGACCCGGCTTAGGCCTTCGTACTTGAACTTTGGAATGTGCAAGTGGGCATTGACTTGCGCAAGTCAAGGATGAGGCGAAATTTTTTGCGCTGCTCGACCACATTGAGTGGGCTGATGCATGTGAATGCAGCTTTTGACGAGACCTTCATGGCAGCACCGGTGGATAGGAGGTCTTGAATGACATCTCGCGTGAATGTGGTGTGCCCGCGGACGCCCGCATAGTTAGCATCCTCGAATGGGATGGGTGCCTCATTCTTCCATGGAAGCCAGTATCCCTTGGTAATGATGGAGAGGATGAAGCTGCTGTTGCACCATGAGCACCACCATTGGAGTTCGTGCCGCAAGCGGCTGCGCATGAATGTTACCGATTTGGTGATAACGGCGTACTTGTACGAGTCCCACTCTCTGTCGAACGGTTCGCCACCAAGGGCTGCAGGTATTGGCAACCAGGAAAGTAGAAAAGGTATGGATGGTTGGCCAATAGACCGAGCATGCGAGTTGTCGGGTGAGATGTCTGTTTCCAATGCCTCTTTCTGACATGTGTACAAAGAGTGCACTACCTCGTACCCCCCACCTTTTTTCTTCTTTTTTTTCTTCTTCTTCTTTTTGACTCGTGTGCCCATGCATTTGCCTCACATTGTCACGAGGGCCAACACCCTTTTTGTCTCATGCTCTTGTCTGTGAGCTGTACAACATCCTCTCTCACTCTCCCTCTCCCTCTCCCTCTCTCTCTCTCTCTCTCTCTCTCTCTCTCTATCTCTCTCTCTCTCTCTCGATCTCTCGATCTCTCTCTCTCTCTCTCTCTCTCTCTCTCTCTCTCTCTCTCTCTCTCTCTCTCTCTCTCTCTCTCTCTCTCTCTCTCTCTCTCTTTCCCTCTCTCTCCCTCTTCTCTCTCTCTCTCTCTCTCTCTCTCTCTTTCTCTCTCTCTCTCTCTCTCTCTCTCTCTCTCTCTCTCGCTCTCTCTCTCTCTCTCTCTCTCTCTCTCTCTCTCCCGCTCTCTTTGTTTGCCATCAAGAGCGTATTTCATTGGGCTGCCCTTGGGCCAGTCATGTTTGTGTAGTCCCTCGTACCTTCTTGGTTTCTTGCTCTCCCTCTCATTCTCTCACTCTAGTTTTTTTTTTCAAACATTAGTCTATTGATTCAGAATGACATAACAAACTCCACACATAGAGAGAAGCCTTAGCAAGGGTCTATACCCAAAGAAACAGCCTTTAGGGCTACCAAATCTGGACCCCTAGGTCCATGTGCCTACGCACCACCGGTACGCCCCATGTGCTCCCGGCATATTGGCAAAGGGGCGCCACCCCATACGCCTCCTCACACCACGGGTGAGGGGTCTTGTGAGCCTTGCCAGCCCATGGGGCAGGAATTTGCCATCTGGCCGGACTCGCCCGCCCATGAAGCGGGGTTCCTGGCAGCTGCCGGATCCAATGAGCTTGTTGCCCTGATCGCCATCATGGCCGGGGGTGCGACCGCCACGGGTGTAATCGGTGCGGGCGCACTTGAGGGCCGCGACATCAGCGATGACGAGCTTGTAGGAGCAGGAGGTGAGGTCGCTCTTGGACTGGCATAGCTGGAACCAGTCGGCGTCCTCGAACCCCACCTCGTCCGCCACCAAGAGCATCTCGAAACGCATGTTGATGAGCGTTTTGATGTGCGCCACATTTGAGAGGACGCTTTTGGTGTCGCCGTTCTGCAACTTGAACTCGACGTGCCTGAGGTGGGCCTGAATAGAAGCAAACACCTCTGCCTGGTTGCGCACGCCCTTGCGCATGAAGGTTGTGGCCGCGAGTGTGGGGTTGAGGGGAGGAAGAGGGGGGGCGGGTGCAATAATGCGACGACGAGCAATGTTATTAGGTGCCTCACCATCGTTGTTATCGGAGTCATCACTGTCGTCGGGACAGCGACAGGTGCAGGTGTCGGGGCAAGAGGCGGGGCAGGTTCGTCGAGGCAGGGAGCCTTGTTAGCACGAGGGAGAGCGGGCGTTTCCTTATTCTTGTTAATTTTTGCGGGGGCGGAATTTTTTCGGATGAATTCACAATTGTAACAGGTGCGGTTTGCTGTAACAGCACCATAAGTGTCTGCAGCTGCTCCGCAGTAAACGGGGGGGCGACGGCAGCCGGCGCGATCTCCTTGGGGGTGCTGCGTGGCGTTTCGCAGAAGTGGCTAGCGGGCTAAGGGGCGGCTAGAGCGCGCTGGCTGGAGCCAAACCAACGCGCTGGTTGCTGCCGTCTGTGCGATGGCGCATCGAGGCCGCCACGGCAGCGCGACGAGGCCACCACAGCAGCGCGTCGAGGCCGCCATGACAGCTCGATAGGCCGCGCCACGGCGGCGCAACGAGGCCGCGCCACGGCAGCGCAATGAGGCCGCGCCTCGGCGGCGCGAGGACAGGGGAGAGTGAGATGCGGAAGCGTGGGGAGCAGGCCCGGCAGTATGGAACTGCTCTGATACCATGTTGAGATAGGGTTTAGCTAGGGAGAAGGTTAGCGAGGAGAATAGAGATAGACTAGAGAAGAGGGAGAGGTACAAGAGAAGAGTTGTCCCCTCTACAATAAGAACCAGTACGAGTAGTACACCTACCAATCCTAGACATATGCATTTGTATATGCTGACAACACGGTGTGGTGTGTGTCGAAAACAGATAAGCCTAGGAATTATCTAGGCATAGGAGAATGTCGAGAGGTTTAGCTAGGGGGGAAGAGTTACGAGAGATAAAGGGGGTTGGACTAGAAGAGGAAGAGATACAAGAAGGGGGGGTTGTCCCCTCTACAGTAGGATCCAGTAACATAGCACATCTACCAAGCCTACACGTATATAGATATATATAAATATATAGTTTGAGACACCCCCTAGGCTTGGTAGTGGCAAGCCCACCCCACACGCAGCACCCCCATATCCTTGCACCCCCATGCCCTGCAGCAGCTGTGGCGTCAACCAGCCGGTCGACCCCTCGGCAATCGAGGTGGCGACGTCGACGGCGGGTCACAGCGGCGGCGGCGACTGCGGTGGCGGCGGCGGCAAGGCCTGCAGCACCTGCCGCGGCAGCAAGGCCTGCAGCACCTGCGGCGGCGGCGTCGAGGCACCCGGCGGCAGCGCCCGAGGCACTCGGCGGCGTGGCTCACACTGCGACGACGAGGGGGAGGACGGCACGAGGCCTCCAGCAGCTGCGGCGGGGAGGAGGGGAAAGGCAGAGGAGGGGTAGGGGGGGGGGGGGGGGGGCGAATCTTCAGTGAGGCGCCATGGCTGGTGCGGCGCTTACTGGCATGCGGGCGAGCTGGACGGTGCTAAAACCGGGTGCTGGCCGCTGCCGTCCGTGCGCTGGCGCGTCGACGCCGCCACGGCAGCGCGTCGGGGCTGCCACGGCAGCGCATAAAGGCCGCCGTGTCAGCACGACATGGCCGCCACAGCGGCGCATAAGTGACGGGAGGGGCGAGAGGACGCTGCGGAAGCGTGATGACAGGCAAGATCGGCCTGCTCTGGTACCATGTCGAAAGGAGATAAGCATAGGAACTATCTAGGCATAGGAGAATGTCGAGAGGTTTAGCTAGGGGGGAGGAGTTACGAGAGATAAAGGGGTTTGGACTAGAAGAGGAAGAGATACAAGAAGGGGGGGTTGTCCACTCTACAGTAGGATCCTAAAATGTAGCACATCTACCAAGCCTACACATATATATAAATAAATAAATAAATAAATAAATAAATATAATTTGATAGTATGGTGTGGTGTTTTTTTTAACCTGTGCTTTAAACATGCGGTAGGGGACATATATGTCAAGCTTCCCGTAAAGAATGGTGTGGCAACGTTTTTCGTAGGCGAGCTGCAATGAATGAATGTGTTCTCGCTTCGCTGCATGTTTTGCTGTAGAGTAGGTTGGTTTTGTCACAAATATCTGAGGTTTTCTGTTAATGTAATTGGCACAGCAAATATGCATATGATGCTAGTACCGTATATGTACAATATATTCAAGTTGAAGGTAATACCCTACAGGATCAAGTTAAATAGCGTCAGCAAGAGTCAGCAAGAGATTCCAAACGGCTCGAGTTTTCGTCGAATAGAGGATAGTAAGTTTATCGGGTCACCATGAACAATATCAGGGGTCTCTTTTGACAGGGTAGCAGGGGATGCCATCGCTAGGGCGAAGGCATGGGAAAGACGGGCCAGCAATGGTAGCAGGTACATGAAAACATGGGCCAGTAGCATTGAGAATGGTACACTTGGCATGACAGGATTGGCAGGAGGGTTGTATGTACGGTTCTTGATTGCATGTCTGCAGTCTGGGTTGTTGAAAAATATGCTGGTCTGAATGGAACTGATGTTGCTGGTTGGACTGGAGCTGAGGTTGCAGGAAGAACTGCTGAGAGGGCTGGTGGGAGGGCTGCAGGTGGAGTGGTTGCTGGTGGGGTTGCTGGTGGGGTTGCTGGTGAGGATGCTGGTGGGGATGCTGGTGGGGATGCTGCTGGGGTTGCTGCTGGGGTTGCCGGTGGGGTTGTTGGGAGAGTTGTTCGCTGGTTGAATGGTGAGGGAGTTGGTATAGCTGCTGGTCGGGCTCCTGCTGGGGTTGTTGGGACAATTGCTGGTTGACTGAATGCTGAGGGTACTGGTATAGCTGGTGACAGGGTTGCTGGTGGGGTTGCTGTTGGGGTTGCTGGTGGGGTTGCTGGTGGGGCTGCTGGTGTGGCTGGGGGTAGGGTTGCCTCATGGTATGCAGGAGCTCAAACCGTTGGTGAGGATGCAAGCGAAAACGGTTCGGATTTGACAGCAGTCCATGTGGCACCTTAGGTTGTGGAGGGGTGGTGGGTTGTGGTCGGATGGTGATTTCAGCACCATTAGGTGCCTCTAGAAACAAATCTCCTGAAGGCCCTCCTGAAGAATCCCCTGAAGAGGCATGGCAGGTGCCAAAAGAGCTGGGGTCAGGGAGGGTGGGACGTTCTTGTTGCCGTACCTTGGATTCTTTTGCTGCGATAACGAGTGTTGCTGCAGCGGAATCATTCGGACCTATCGCTAGTCGGCTGGTACTTCCATTCTCCAGCACCTGCTGCTGCTGCTGCTGCTGCTGCTGCTGCTGCTGCTGCTGCTGCTGCTTCTGCTGCTGCTGCTGCTGCTGCTGCTTCTCCTGCTTTTTCTGCGTCTGTTTCTGCCTCTGAAGCAGCCTATGTCCCAAATATCCCACAGCAAAGCCAAATTCACCACCACCACCATCACCGCCCCCACTATCACCGTCCCCGCCACCATCCCCAGCGCCCTCACAGTCGCCATCGCTGCTGCAGCCAGAGGGAATGCAGTTGAGGTCAAAGGTCGGCACAATCATACCCTCCACTCCCACGTGCAAAGCTCCAGCCCGGCTGGTCCTTGCCACCTCATCTTCAGCCTTCCTCACTTCCCCAACAAACTTTTGAGTGGACTCAAAGGTCTGTGCAGCCATTCTCTTGACTCCCACTCGCAGATCTCCAGCCCTGGCCCTTGCCGCCTCAACTTCAGCCTTCTTCACTTCCCCAAAAGCAGCGTTCTCATCAGCCCCTGTCTCAGCGGTCCCCTGACCAACGCATCCCCTGTCGGTGCCCCCCCGTTCCCCTGCCTCATCTTCAGCCTTCTTCACTTCCCCAATAGCAGCATTTCCATCAGCTCCCATACCAGCATCCCCCATATCAGCATTAACCATATCAGCATCCCCCTTACCAGCGCCCCCCATATCAGCATCCCCCTTACCAGCGCCCCCCATATCAGCATCCCCCTTACCAGCGCCCCCCATATCAGCATCCCCCTTACCAGCATCCCCCATATCAGCATCCCCCTTACCAGCGCCCCCCATACCAGCGTCCCCCTTACCAGCATCCCCATTACCAGCGTCCCCCTTACCAGCGTCCCCCTTACCATTGCCCCCATCACCAACGTCCCCCTCACCAGCAATACCCCTCTTAATCCCACCATTTGCTGTGGACTTGGCATGTCCTGCTCCCCTCCCTGCACTTGGCACTTCACCGTTTCTATCTACATCCCTCGTACCCACCACAGGCTTAATAACATATGTGCCACCCTGACTGACCTCTGCTGCATCACTGACTAGATACAATACAGCCTGGCAATTCTTTTTCAGCCCAGCGCCCTTTTTTGCGTTGTCCTCTGCCTCACAATTCCTCCCACCGCGATCCCTGGTACAATCACCTGCGTTGTCCTCTGCTGCATCACTGGCTGGATGTAGTACAGCATGCACACCACCAACGCCTTCCATTCCGTCCTCACAATTCCCACCACGACCCTTGGTACGATCACCTGCGTTGCCCTCCGCTCCATCTTTCTCACCCTCCTTTTTGCCTACCCCAGCTGTCACACTTGCCTCCGCTCCGTCCCCATCCTCTTCTGCTCGTTCACGACTATTTCCGCTGCCACTGCCACTGCCACTGTCCCTGCCGCTGCCGCCACCCCTTCCCATATTCGTTGTCGGCCTACGACTGCCAATGCCAACGTTAGTGTCAATGTCAATGGCATTTGTAGGGCTACCGCAGCCATGCATACAATCCTTCAGCGTACTTGGAGAGGATTGAGAGGCCTGTTTAGAGGATTTGGAGACACTCTGGAAAGTGGAGCAGACCTCCGGCTCGCCTGGCTCTGCGCCTCTCCTCCGCTCTCTCGCCGACAGGGACTCGTCACTGCTTTCCTGCTCCTGCTTGGCAGCACGATACGCGGCACCTCTTTCAGCAGTGCTTGGATCTTGAGTTTCAAGCTCCCCGTCTTGAGTGTTGCGCATTGAGGCTGCTCCCAACCTCTGCCGTTTGCTGCCACTCCTTTCGCCAGTTTCGATGAAAACCCCTTTAGTTTCAAGTCTGGTGCTGCTTGGTGCCTTCAAGGGCTTCAGCAAGTGTGATGCTTCTATTTCTTTGCTCTGAACCTGCCAAGTGGTGAGGAAGAAGGAGGCAGGGAAAGAAAGGACAGAAAACTTTTGAGGCACCTAAAAAAATAAAAACACTAGGCGCCTCAAAAGTCTGAACCTGCCAAGTGGTGGGGAAGGATGTGGCAGGGAAAGAACAGAAGAACTTGCAAGTTTCACTGACATACTAGTTTACAGACATACTAGGGTTTACAGACATACAGAACAAAAATAAAGAAAGAGGAGAAAATAAGGGGGCGGCGGGGGGGGGGGGGGGGGGGGGGGGGGAGGGGGGGGGTGTGAAGACTCACATGTAGCCTACAAGAAGGGACAAGTGCAGGAAGGAAGTTGTAAAACGGGCAATAAGTAGGCGACGTAAAGCAAATTCAAAGATAAACGGGCCTCCACTCTAAAGAAGGGATAGGAGCAGCAACAGGAAGAGAGATTTGATATGAGTGCAAAGGGAAGAATTCAAAGAAATAAAGGCAGGGAAGTAATACAAAAGACCGAGGAACAAAAGTGGCACCAGGACAACGAGGGGAGGGGGCAAGCTGGGCAAGGGCGGGGAAGGGTGGCGGAAGGGTGGGTGTGTGGAGGCGGTGAGAGGAGTGGGGAGGGTACTAGTAGGCGAGGGGAAGGAAGATATGCAGCCCCTCCCATGGGTCCCATGGGAACCAGTCACTAACTGGGTAGGTACCTTGTGACGTCCAGGCGGCGTAGGTATGGCGCTTAGTGCCTTGAGGTTGCCCATCCTTTGGCATTCTTGTTGACCACGCAAGGAGAGCTTCGAGCTGCTTGAGTCATCTCTAACGTCATCATCGTCACCTGCCAGCCCATTTAGATCTTCAAGATCTTCAAGATCGCCCGCCCTTTCCTCCCACTGGGAATGCTGCTTCTTTACTATCCCGCGTTGCCGTTTGGCGGATTCGCGGCCTTGGCAGGACAGACCTTTTCTTAGCTGAAATGGCCGTTTCTCCAGCGAACGCCGCCTTCTACTAGTAGTAGCAATAGCGATTCTGCTAGCGTCGCGAAGGACGTCTTGAAGCGGCCTTGTTTTGACGCACTTCACGGGGGTTAGTTCGCACACGCCAGCAACCCAGGACATTTCCGACTCCGAGGCAACAACTTCCGCCGGCGGCGGAAAGCTCCTCAAATCGGACTGGTGAGAAGCCGCGGCGGAATTCAGTGCGTGATGCTCGACTCTCGTCGCTGGGCGATCTGTCTCCTCATGGCGGCTGTGAATTCCGTCCATAGTACTGGTGAAAGTGGTCATAGGTTTTGTGACCTACTAAAGTAACAACAACTATACTGTTAGCTCAGCTCAGCGTGACTATACCAAAACCTCCAGCTCCGGCTGGTGGTGGGTTCAGCTTCCTTCCTAGTCCTTGGAGGCGGGCTGCTCTTTTGTCGTCTTGTCATGTCATTTCTCCTGCCGCGATATTTCGCTGTCTGGCGGTTTGGCGTACACACCTCCGAGCATTTCGTGTGGGCGTGGTAACGTTGATATACTATTTTGGGGGGCATCCCTGCCTGAAGTCGATTCCCAAAGCCGGGGTGGTTTAGGTATTCTGAAACGCCGAACTGAAATCGCCACTCGGTACATTGGAGCTTGACATTTGTAAACATTTTGGAAGGTTTGTAGATAATAATTCATAGTCGAGGAGAAACCTGTATAATTAGACTAGGCTTCATTCAATGGTGGGTCTGGAACTTGGATGAGTGGCACAGCAGCGAGGCGCTACGTAGTTTAGATCGCTCATGCGACTGTTACGACCCACCGCAATTGACACGTCATCAACGACCGTTGCCGCAAGTTCTGCTCTCTTGTTTTTGCTCGATCAGAATTAGCAGGTCAGCTGAAAGATATGCTGCAGGGTGGGAACATTGCAGAACAAGCTAGAAATACGTCTCCTTCTGGACAGAATGTTAGAGATGCCTTCACTACAGCGTCATATATTTGCCCTGTGATATATACGTTCCGTTCGGGTTTTACTCCTGGAGACATTTCTTTCGACCAAAGCAGAAGCCCACAAGTTCCACCACGAACAGACAAGGCATCACCAAGCCGCGTCAATAGCACCGACCAACAGTATTGAATTGCATAAAAAGTCCTTCGCTGTCCTTTTTAAAACTGGAATGTATGTGTTTCAAGCTATGCAGATTATGGTATCATTATGTAATGGCATACTCTAGGAAATAATTGTATTTTTGCCCCTTGTAGAGGATTCCATTAGTCCACAAGGACACTGGGAATATATTCGCTTGTGGAATATATCAGAAGCAGCACCCTGATATTGCATTAATGTATTGGGAAACCTTATCATTGCCTAAGAACACCCAACTATGGCGAAAACGAGATCTAACCAAACCAGCATGGATGTCAAATGCTACCTTATCCTACGTGCCTTGGTACAACTCTTGCGAGACACATCCACGACGACTTTAATGTCATAACCCAGTCATTAACCGCTGAGCTTGTTAAAGCTCGCGACTGAAATAGCAGACCTGGAAACCACTTGAATTTGGTGGGGTGCATTGAAGCATAGAAAGGAAGGAAGGTTTGAGTTAAAACCTGCTTTTTTTGGGCTAGAAAACTGAACTGAGACGAATTCTAGTTGAGCATGCTGATAGGAGGAATGACGAAAAAATATCGATTCGGTTTATGTTGTGACACGATTATTATAATGCGATCCCCTCAAAACATCGTGCATATCGCACGGAGGGGCCTATGACGGGTTTGGGTGAGCGGCTTGCGACTAGGGAATTCAGGGGCATTTTTCAAGTAATTTCCAGGTCTGTTATCACTTGATTGCGAAATCCGGCAAAGTTCGCTCCAAAATTACTGTTCTCGTCGCACTTTTACTGTTCGCTGAACCACAGAGGTAGGTAGCATGAAGTAAATTTTACTGTTCTAGCACTGCTGGCTCTGATATCATGTCAGAACTCAGTGGGCACTGCTGGAAGTGGTGCCCACTGGGAATTAACCGAGTATCCTGGCTCTGATACCATATCAAAGCTCAGCTACAAACCACTGCGTTACAAGGGGCTTGTTAAGTAGCGGGTAAGTGTGTTAACAAATATATTTATCTAGGCTACATTTGTTATAGCCTTAGTTAGGTCAGTTCTTAAAGTGTACAGCCCTATTTTTGACCATCTAACATGGCATCTAAAGCTACGTCTCGCCCTCTACTCACCCTTCCGCCCTAGCACACCCTATCCTAGCGCGCCTCGCCCCTAGTTGCGCGCCTCGTAGCTTATCCCCTCCCCGCCCTCCCCTACTCGTCACATCGTTCGCGTCAGCTAACGTCAACCGCCACCAGCTAGTGCCGACCAGTGCCAGCCGCCGCCAGCCCGCACCAGCTGGCGCCTTCGTTAGTCACTAGTTTCCCTCCTCCCCCCGCTCGTTCGTAGCTCGCCTCTCCCTCCCGCGCCCCGCGAGTCCTTGTCGCCGACCAGCTCTAGCCCGCGCCAGCTCACCAGTGCCAGCCAGCCCGCCAGCTCGCCAGCGCCAGCTCGCCCGCATTAGCCCGCCAACACCAGCTCACCAGCGCCAGCTCGCCAGCGCCAGCTAGCCTGCATCAGCCAGCACGTGCCAACTAGCTGCTAGTTGCAAGCACCAGCTCGCCAGTGCCAGCCAGCAGCTTGCCAGCAACCCCCAGCAAGCTGGCCGCTGGCCTGCCATCTAGGAGCCGCCAGCAACCGCCCCTCCCGCTACTGCTACTGCCGCTGTAGCACTTGCTGCAGCTGCTCCTCTTGCTGCCGCCGCTACCGCTGCAGCCACCGCTGCCACTGCTCTTGCCGCTGCCGCTGCTCCTCCCACTGCTGCAACTGCCGCTGCAACTGCCATTGCCCCAGCTCCTCCCGCTGTTGCCACTGCCATTGCAGGCGCTGCAGCCGCTCCTCCCGCTGCTCCTGCCGCCGCTCCTACAGCTGCAGCCGTCAATACTGCAGCTGCACTGGCCCGCTGCCTGCAGCGCCAGCTGCCCTTGCCGCCAGCCGTCAGTGCCAGCACTAGCGGCCAGCTGTCAGTACTAGCGCAAGCCTTCAGCGCCAACCATCAACCGCTAGCGGTCGCCAGCCAGCTCGCAGCCGCCAGTAGCAGCCAGCCTGCTTGCCGCTGGCTCGCCGCTGCCGCTGCTGCTACTCCTATTACTGTAGCCGCTGCCACTGCGGGCCGCCGCTCCTGCTGCTGCTACTATGGCTCCTGCCGCTACTACAGCTCCTGCCGCGCGGCCCTTGCTACAGCTGCTCCTCGTGCCAGTTGTTGTTGTCGCTGCCACTGCAGCCGCTCCTACCACCACTCTTGCCACCGCTGCCGCTCACCAGCAGCCGCCCTGCCGCTGCCACTTGCCAGCTTGCCGCTGGCCTGCCGCCCGCTAGCAGCAGCTGCTACCACTGGCTCCCACTTCAGCACCCGTCACTGCTGCCTCTGTCGTCGCTGCCGCCGCTGTCTCTGCATCTGCTGCCTCCGCCTTCTCAGCCGCAACTGCCACCTCAGCGGCCAGCATGTCGGCGACCAGCAGCGTCTTCGTTCTCCGTCTGGATGGGGAGGGGCAGGCAGTCGGTTTTGCCGCCTGGCAGGAGACAGTTCTCCTGCAGCTCACAAGTTAGCGCGTCGACAACGAGTCCCTCGACACCCACATCTCTGGTGAGATCCTTCAGCCTCCCCGTCTGGGCGCTCTCGTTACTGACACGACTTCCATGCAGCAGGCTGCACACGCTGCTGCCCGTACTGCCTACTCGGTCTGGGCTTCCCACGACGCCATTGCTCGTGTCGCCATCCTCAGGTGCCTGGCGTTTGACGAGCACTCTCACTTTGTGGGTACTGCGTCAGCCCGCGCCCCTTGGATGGCTATCCTTGCTAGGACTCCACCTTGTCGTTTGCCACTCTTGACCGTTTCCACCTTGTCGTTTGCCACTCTTGACCTTTCTTCCACTCTGACCCAACTTTCTTCGCCACTGCAGCAGACTTAGTCAAGCATCTGCTTTCACTCGAGGCCCGCTGGCATGCGGCCTGTACTGAGGCCTGCTCTTGCCCCGCCCCCCCTCTACACCACTATCTACTTCCTTGTCACCCCACCACCCTGGCCGCCTTGCACTTGCCCGCGATGCGCTCCTTGCTCGCCACCCCTCTGAGCTCCACTTTGACCTCTTCTCTACCTTCCTGACTGGGGTAGAGGACCGCCTCCGTGCCATCGCTGATTCCACTGGTGCGCCAGCGGTCCCTATCTTCCAGGGCGGTGCTCCCTTCCAGTTGACTGTCCCTACCTCCGCCGCCTCTGTCGACGAGACTGCAGTGGCTGCCTCCGCCCCAAGCCACTCCTCTGGCAGTAGAGGTTAGAGCAAGGGAGGCAAGGGCCATGGGGGGTCGGCAGCAGCAGGTGTAGATGGAGAGGGTAGTCAGTCGGAGTCTGGAGCTGCACAGAAGCAGCAGCAATGACCGCAGCAGCAGCTGCCGTGGGGTTGGCAGGCTTTGAAGTGGTGGCTGTGGTGGTGGCCATGGAGGTTGGGCCCCGGGGCAGTTGGTGCCCTGGGGGGCGCGTGGCTCTACTGTGAGCCAGGATGCTAGTGATCCTATTGGCGCGGTAACCTGCACGTAGTGGCTGTTGACCGGCCCCAAGGTGGGCCAGGTCTGCTTGCGCCAGGGCCACACTCCCGCCCGCTGCTTCTGCCGCCTCGACGACCTCTACCGCCGTCAGTTCGGCTTGCTGGTGCATGAACCCGTGTGGCCTACCTTGATTTGTTGTCGGGTTCCTATTTTTGATATGGATATGATTCAGATAGATCATGCCTTGTAGTCTTTCTATTCTGATCACTCTAGTACTGCTGGTTCTTATTATTATGCTGTTTGTAGCCTAGGAGGCACTACTGTGTGTAGTCTAGGATCCCCTACTGCGTCAAGCGTAGACTCCCTTGCTACATCAGGCATAGGATTTGTTAGAGATTCTTTATTGGGCCCCGCCACGTCGGCTCTCTTCTTTATCCTAGACTCGGGTGCGTCTCATTGCTTCTTTCGAGACAGTACTGCTCTTACCCCATTTCCTGTGCCTGTCCACGTTGCACTAGCAGACTCCTCTACTACAGCTGCTGCATATAGCACCACCACTCTCCCCTGTCCAGCCATCCCATCCGGCTCCCTCACTGGTTTGCACATCCTCTCGTTCGCCAGGAACCTAGCAGATGTCGGTAAACTCCAGGACCGAAGTGTCACCACTACGTTCCCTGGCCGCGAAAGACATGCAGCTTATACAGACACAGCCACCGGTCGTCACCTAGCCACATTTGAGC